CTTTGGATTAGCTCTGCTCTAGACCCCATGTGATAAGGTCCTAGGAATGGGAAGGGCAGCTATGAAGGAACAGGACAAGATCATAAAGAGTAAAGACATGGAACTGAACACTAAAGTTAGAATGGTCCAATACATTGTATTCCCTATCATCATGTACAGATGTGAGAGCTGGACAGTGAAGAAAACAGATAATAAGAAATATGAGATATGAAGATGGAGAATGGTGAAGAGTGCTGGGGATACTGTAGCAAAAAGACAAACAAATGGGTCCTTGAGTAGATAAAGCCTGAAATCTCCCTGGAAGCCAAAGTGATCAAACTGAGGCTGCTATACTTTAACCATATTATGAGAAGGCAAGACGCATTAGAAATGACAATAATGCTAGGAAAGGTTGAAGGTAGTAGAAAGAGAGGAAGATTGCACACTAGATGACTAGACTCAATCAGGGACGTCATAGGCCTGACATTACAAGACCTAAGTAGAGCAGTGGAGGACTATGGAAATATCCACAGAGTTACTATGAGTCAGGGTCAACTCTAGGGCAGTTCACTGGTTACTCCCAACCCCCTCCTGTTTTAACAGAATTGGACCCAAACCTCTGCCTCAACTAGCTATAAGAGAACCTGCACCAGAATCCACCCAACTACTTGCAATTCATACCCCATTCACTATATTAAAAAAAAAAAACTGGACCTGGACCACACCCACAATTCTCTGAAAGATAATTGGATCCTTATCCTCATTCCCACCCCAAGACTTGCTGCAAAAGAACTAGACCCAGAATCCATCCAAAGTCACTTTTAGAGAACTGGACCCAGAACCACCACCCCATTTGTTATAAGGGAATTGGACCCAGAAACCCTCCACGCTCACACCCCTCACAACTTGCTGTATGAGAATTGGACTCGTCCACCCCTCCAACTGGCTATAAGAGAACTGGAACCAGACACACCACACAAAAAAAACAATATGGATCTTGAATTGCCAGATAGCAAAGTGGTTTCAGCCAGAAAAGCCCCTGAATGCAATAGCTCTTACAGAAAAGCGGGTGAACGATTGCAGCCATTACCTTGAAAGAGTCGACTCTACCTCTTCCTGACCTATATACTTGCAGCTGTCTTCCAAGACCCTGAACTATTTCAGCTATCTGACTTCCTTCAAATCGTTCCTCAAAGCCCACCTTTTCAGTGAAGACTTTGCCTCAACCAGATAGCTCTCATGTCCTATATATTTATTATTTATATTTACACTGCACCTGTATTCCTACATGCCCAAAAGTGCTGTGCATGGCAATTTTAATCTTTCCACCCCATCATCCCTTTGTCCTCCAAAAACCTGTGGGGAAGGTTAGGTTAAGAGGACCTGGCACAGGGTCATCCAGTGAGCTTCAGGCTTCAGTCAGGAAAGAACCTAGATTTCCCAAGCATAATACTAACAAATACCATGTGCTGTAGGCTATATTTCAGAAGAAGGGACTGACAAAACCACCTCTTGAGTATTCCTTGCCTAAGAGAGTCCTATAAAATTAATGAGGTTTCCATAAATCGAAAGGCAACTTGAAGGCACATGCACACACACAATGGCAAACCACCTCTAAAGTATTTATTGTCTAACTAAAGATTATGAAATTCAAGGTGTTGCCATAGGTTAGCAAGTAATTTGAAGGCACATACACGTGGACATACACAGAGTCCGATGCTCCAACCGCTATACCACACTGCTCCTACTGCTCAATAACTGAAACAACTGCATTATTCTCTTGCTCACTTCTCTCCCCGCCCCTGTTTTCCCTGTGCTTAATTGTATATTGCAAGTTCCTTAGGGAGGGATCTGTACTCTGCAAACTGTCATATATTTATAGCCCTATATAACACATTAGAAATTGTTATACGTTTGGAAACACCCTTTTTGAATTTCTGAAGGCATTTACTGGAATTTGAGAATAGTAAATGGTGTGTTCTCCGCAAAGATTTGCTCATATCAACTAAGTAAACTATTGGGTGAGTACTTTTCAACAGTTTTAAGCCTTATGTATCATTCTTGCATTCACCAAAGCAGAGAGGTCACATTTGGGCATCTGTGTTTCTTAACCTCTTCATGAACCTCTTCTGGCATCATTACATTGTTGTTCTGTGCCTTCAAGTCATTTCTGACTTATGGTGATTTTAAGGTGAACCTATCATGGGATTTTTTTTTTTTAATGGCTGAAAGAATGTGACTCACCCAGAGTCATCAAGTGGGTTTCAATGGCTAAGCAGGGATTTGAACCCTGGTCATCTAAATTATAGTCCAGCGCTCAATCCACTACACCATTTCGGCTTTCATTACATTACAGCCATAAAATAATGAAACAAAACAGCTGTGTCACTAGTTCATTTAAACTATTCTCAATGCCCAAGTAGGCTGATTGCCAGGATTTGATTGTGTTTCTTCATTTTAGTAGTTTGCTCTCTTGCTAATGCTTTAGCTGCATAATCCTATACATAGCTCTTAAAAAGTAGGTCCCATTGGGTGAAATGCAGCATTGCACAACTGATCATTACCTTTCCCTTGCTTAATTGCCTACTTTCCTCACTACCACATGTACTCTCTACAAAGCCTCCCCAGAGTATCAAAAGGAACAACAGGATATCGTGAAATGTATCTTACCAGGCTGTTCTGGGAGAGGGGACTTGGCAAAATCTGGAACTTAGCACATGTGCCAGTGGTACAAGATCTTACCACCCAATTTCAGGACTTTTCTAATGCAGTTTTCATTATTGGTCAGCCAGAAATCATGCCTCAGTTCCCCACATCTGGTGCCATGGGATGAGGTAAATACTGCTGTGTCTGCACCCTTTCTCCCTTAGGGTGTTCAAGCTGAAATCTGTGTTTGGTGACACTGTATCCCCCTGCATGTAGAGTAGGCCCTCCATATCCATGCATTCTGCATCCACAGATTCAATCATCCATGGCTTGAAAATATTTTTTTAAACCCCAATAATTCCAAAATCCAAACCTTGAGTTTACCATTGTATATAAGGAACATCATTTTACTACACCACTGTAAATAATGGGATTTGAGCATCCATGGATTTTGGTATCCACAGAGAGGTCCTGGAACCAAACTTCAGTGGATGCCAAAGGCCCACTGTATTGAGATTTATGATTCTATGGCCTCATTTGTGAATTGCTGGTCAGGTTATATGTCTGTCCTTCTCACTTGAAACTGGAACCGAACCAACTGCGCTCAGTTTCTATCGCAATGAAGTGAGGAAAACGCTTAAGAACTGCTCTTTCCTGACACTAGTTTTTTGGTGGTTCTTTTGAAAAGAAGCAATTAGAAAGAGGGTTCAGCAAGTGGGAACTACAGACCTGAATCGCATCAAACTGGAGGAGAGGGTTTATTGGAGCAGCGGTGGTACAGGGATGTATCCCATCCACTAGTTTTTAGGGAAATCCACCATTCCCACCCCCCTTTCCCAGGACCTGTCCTACATTCCAACCTTCTGTCCAGGAGGAATTCCAAAATGACCTCCATTCTGAGCTTGACTAGGAAGCATGCAAGGCTGGGAGGTCACCACCTCAACTCCCCATGTCCTCCAAGTCCTGCAAGACTGGGAGAGCACCACCTCAACTCCCCATGTCCTCCAAGTCCTGCAAGACTGGGAGAGCACCACCTCAACTCCCCATGTTCTCCAAGTCCTGCAAGGATGGGAGAGCACCACCTCAACTTCCCATCTCCTCCAAGTCCTGCAAGGCTGGGAGAGCACCACCTCAACTCCCCATGTCCTCCAGGTCCTGCAAGGCTGGGAGAGCACCACCTCAACTCCCCATGTCCTCCAAGTCCTGCAAGGCCGGGAGGTCACCACCTCAACTCCCCATGTCCTCCAAGTCCTGCAAGGCTGGGACGCCACCACCTCAACTCCCCATGTCCTCCAAGTCCTGCAAGGCTGGGAAGCCACCACATTAACTGAGCCCTATGAGAAAAATGGCCCCAATGAGTATTTGTTCTGCACTGGCAATGGTTAAAATGGAGCATTTGGCAACAGCTGCATGTAGGAATAAGTACTTTCACTATGTTGTTGGGGAAGAATGCACATGTGTTAAGCAACACAATCCACATAACATACAGTATTCACATATAGGAAAGTGAGTATGGGAAAAGACATGGGAAACAGCTGCCCTAGTTTTGCTTGCAGCACAACTGCCCTCTTCCCTTGCTTACCTGTGTGGGATGCTTTGTTCTGGCACTTCCAGATGAAGCAGTGGGATCTGTGGGGTGCAATTTGGGTATTTGTGTCCAGATTCACAAGTCACTTGTGGTCCTCCAGATGCTGGTGGACTGCAACTCTTAGTTGTTATAGCTAGTTTATCCAGTGGTGAGGAATGCTGGTAGTTAATATCCAACCATATCTGGAAGGGTATGCACCTCCACTCTATGGGTTTAAAGCAGAGAAGTGTTAGGAATGAGCTCAAATATCTAGTGTTTTGCAGGCAGCTATTGGTCTGCACAAATCCCTCCCCTTTTTTTTTTTTTAATAAAAAATGACCTTTCTCTGCTGTTTCCTTTCTTTTCACCAGAGTTTCCCCTTGTGAACTTTCAAATATGCATGATGTTAGACCAGAGAAATAAATCACAATGGTCATATTGTATTATTATCTGTATTATTATTGTCGTGTGGATCATATGCTAGGTTATTCAGTATTATATTATTGTCATGGTGTGTTCTGTCATGCACTGTGAGTAGAGTAGCCAATATGAGTAGCTACTTTAAAATTTATTTTCCTCTTCTGTTGAAGTGAGTATGAAGGGAATTTCTTGATCTACATTCAGGGCTGTTATGTGGTTCTGCCACTGATAGGAGCATGGTTGTAGTCTGAAGCAGAGTTTGGGAACATCTAGTTACAAACAACTAATTATTTATCATTACTTCCTTCACCCCAAAACAAATATATAAATACATTACATTAAAATTGCAACTTGGGATAACTGACTTTCTTTTCTGGTGTAACTTTAACTGTTTGTAACTTTTACAGGTACAGGAGTGTGGGAGTCTCACTAAATTGTGAAGGAGGAATATATACGGTTCAAGTGCTGGCCTGTGTGCTTTGTTGAGGCAACAGTGAGGTAACCACAAAGCTATGGGCTTGTTTTGTACAATAGGCCCATGACTTGTGGCATCCAGATTTTGAAATGTGGCTTAGATTTTAGTGGTAATGATTTTAGTTGCTTTTCAGAAACAGGAAAATAAATACTTACTTTAAAAACTGGAACATGTCAGTAACTCAGATGGTGGATTGGAATGAAAACTGTAACTAACTACATTGTAAAAGTAACTTTCTGAACTCTGGTCTAGAAGAATATAAAATACACCATAACCATGCACCTCTCTTGTCTCTCACTCACCTTGCCCATAGCTCCATCCTGTTATAGCCATTCTACTGACGTATCTTTCCCAGTGATCCAGACTATTGCTGATTTTTGCTGTTGGCATGTCTAAACTGTTCCATTGGCATTTCTTTTGTGTCAACAGCATATCTCACATTCCACTGTTATAGAAAGGCTTCTATGCCATCTCTTATGGCCATCCAGCTATTCCAAGTCAGGTATAGGATTGCTCTATGTCAGGGGTAGGCAACCTAAGGCCCGGGGGCCGGATGCGGCCCCCCAAGGCCTTTGGACTGGCTCCAGACGGGTCCTGCCACCACTGCTGCCGCCCCCCACCATTATAATATTGACTATTGTTGTTATTACTTGTTCTTGGGTTTTTCTTGGCAAAATCTCCACAGGGTTTTTGCCATGGCTTTTCTGGGGCTGAGAGAGTGTGCATGCATATTTTTTAATTTTTTGTAAATTTTTAAAATTTTATATTTATTTATTTATTTATTTATTTTTCATGCTTCGGCCCCCCCAATTGTCTTAGGGACAATAACCCGGCCCCCAGCTCAAAAAGGTTGCCTACCCCTGCTCTACGTAATACAAGTGTAGTTCCTCAACATGAGCACAACCATTATAATTATTAGTATTCACTATGTGTGGGCTGCATAGTGAACACCACGAATCTAAATACTACATTAGTGTAAAATCCTATTAGTCTGGCAGAAAGCATAAGGTGGTCCTTTTTAAATCATTTCCCAATTTTCCAAGTCACTGAAGCAATGGAGCTGCGTGTGGTGAGGAGATTAAATTACCTGCTATATTTCTATTTGTGATAACACAGAGACAGAGTAACCATTGATTGCATGATATTTCCATACTTCTTAATGTAGTGTTTCATGTATTCTTCAAGAGTAACCAATTGCTTTGAGTTTTTAATATTAGTAATGTATGCAGTTTTGCTGCTGCTGCTGCTGCTGCTTTTATTTACAACATTCTGTTGAGACCTGGAATATCATAGCCCTAAGTACTTTTATTTTGCATGTGAGACAAGTCAATACACCTAACCCTGCTTGAGTTTACTTTTCAATTTACAAAGATTTGTTTTAGTTGTTCAGCTTTTGCCTGTATAAGTTTAACATAAAAGTGAATTGTGTTTAGAAGATGATGAGACCAAATAAATTATCTTTATGCAAATTTTCTTGCAAAAGATTATTTTTTATCCCTCTAAGTTCTGTTACCAGCTAAAATTTCATATTATTCTGACCACGCTAATTTTCTTAATGCAGGGGTAGGCAACCTTTTTGAGCCGGGGGCCGGGTTGCTGTCCTTCAGACAATTGGGGGGCCGAAGCACCAAAAAAAATTTAAAAAATATGCATGCACACTCTCTCAGCCCCAGAAAAGCCATGGCAAAACCCCTGTGGAGATTTTGCCAAGAAAACCCCAAGAACAAGTACGGTAATAACAACAATAATCAATATCATCATGGTGGGCGGCGGTGGCAGTGGGGGGAGGCAGTGGTGGCGGCGGGAGGACCAGCCTATGAGGACCGGCATCTGGCCCCCGGGCCTTAGGTTGCCTACCCCTGTCTTAAAGCTTCTGGAGAGCAGCTGTACCACTAGAACAAACAGCTCACAATTACCTATGTAAATAAGTTGAGCTTAACACTGATGATGAAATTAATATTTTTTTTCTGTTACATTTAATTTCTGTAGGGAAAGCAGCAACAGCTCTCTGCCTGTTGAGGAAGACAATTTCTCTTTCAAATTTTTCTGCAATTAGTTCAGTTCCTCGATGTTACCCTGCCTTGAATACTGCTTAATATATGATGCAATTAATGCTTTATATTTTCTGAAAGAATGGGCTTTGATCAAAGAAAATAAAGATAACATATAGTAACGACCAGGAAGATATGTAGTACAAAGCCATGCTGATTCACTTGCTTTTGCATCGGAGAA